ATACTTCTAGTTATCACCCACAGACCGATGGTCTTGTAGAAAGGTTTAATTCTACCTTGTGTCAGTCTTTGTCAATGTACGTTTCCAAAAACCAGAAAGATTGGGACGAGTTCATACCGCTTATTTTGTTTGCGCATAGGACTTCTGTTTTAGATGCAATTGGGGATTCTCCTTTTTACGTTCTTTATGGGCGAGAGCCACGCTTGCCAATTGACGTTAAGTATTTGCCTCCTGCGGCTGATGATTTGAGTACTTCGGTCCTTGACTATCGAAAACGTGTTGTCGAAAAAGTCGAATTGGCTCAGAATTTAGCGAGAGAAAATTTACAACGTGCACAACAAAAAATGAAGGATTATTACGATCAAAAGACAAAAGAACCTCTTTTTGAAGTTGGACAGCGTGTTTGGGTTTATACCCCGAGGACTAGAAAAGGGTTATCCAAAAAGTTAATGCATAATTGGTTGGGTCCATACAGAATTGTTGAGAAATTGTCACCGGTTCATTTTAAGTTGCGCACGATCACCAATAAAAAAGTTGCTTTTTCGTGTCACGCAAATCGTATGAAGCCATTTGTTGATCCTAATTTGAGACCAATTGACCCTCCGCCTTTTGATGACCCTGCCGAGCCGTACATTATTGAATCTGATATTCCAAAAGATTGTTTTGAGCCAATTTCTGCTGAACCGAATCCTAAAGACACTGACTTAAATCCAGTTTGTATTGAGACGCCACCAAAACAGAAAGAGTCAAACAACGAGTCAGACCAAGAAACGACAAAGAATCAACTTCGAAATGCAAAAGAATCAACTCCGGAAGCAATTGTTATCGACAATGAAACTGTGTTTAGTGCAGAAAAAATTCTAAAACATCGAAAGAGAAATGAAAAGGTCGAGTACTTGGTGAAGTGGCTCTTCTTTCCTAGGAGCCAATCAACGTGGGAACCGGAACACCATATTTTGGATAAACGTCTCATTGATAATTATCTTCAATCACAAAAATAATTCTGGTTTTTGTACTCTGCCTTGTTGCTTGGCTTATATTTCTTTGATTTTCTCTTACCCATGAATTGAGTTCGGTATTCCACAAGATATTCTTGTCCATGAATTTATGAATGCCTTCTCTCTGTTTTTCTAGTCTGTCTATAATCTTTTTGTGGGTTGTTTACAATATCATGAATTTGATAAGTTTTTGAAGTCAGAAGTTCACCATCTGTTATCAGTTAGTTTTCTATTAGTGTCTGAAATGTTATTATAAACACAGTTAATATTAAGTTCTTCATTAAACAAGTTGAGTAGTTCTCTTCATTATCAAGTTATGCCCACGTGAAATTATTGCATCTAATGTCTTTTTTTTTTTTTAAATCTTTTGATCTATTAGCTTCTATATTTATGTTTAGTTTCTCTGGCTAGTTTGATTAACTTGTTTGTGTAAAATAGTTATTATAACTTTAGACGTCGGAAATTAGAAATTAGATATATTACGTCCTTCGTAATAGTTATTTTGTAAAGTTGCTTGCATTGGTATTTCGTCATATATTCAATCACCGATTCTTCCGTTGTTCTTCGATGGCTTGTCAGTGATTTTTCGTCACTTTGTACTACTGAAATGGATCTGAGCATTACTCGATTGTTTGTTTCCAAGACGTCTAAACACACTTTGATCACTCCGCATGGCATTGGCTACTCTGTTTGGTCGAGTTTGACCCCTTCTTTGTTACAGTTTAAAGCAGAACTGTGCTTGTTGATACTTATCACTGGTCAGTACTTTGTGTCTTCATCAGACGAGTTCGCTTCATTTGGAGCTGTGTTTCATAACAAGAATTATCAGTAATTTACAAACAAGATAGCCTTGTCTTCCAAGTATGCGTTCTCCGCTACATTCAAGTTGAATTCTACTACAGGATGATATATGCTGTCAATTCTCAACGTTTTCAAGTGGTTCTCTAGTCAAGTCGTTCACAAGAACACGGTCATCAATTTATTTAGCTCAAGTTTTCAAGTCTCAAGATTCAAGGACAATGTATTGAACACTGAACTATTGACATTGAACTGTTGACATTGTTTAAATTAACATTGTGTAGTGTGGTAGTTTTATTTTGATATTTTACGCACTTATTTCTCATTTATATGTATTACGTCCTTTTGCATCGAGGACGACGCTTTTTCTAAGGGGGGAGGAATGTTGTGAAGTATTTTGAAAGTTATTTTTAAGACGGATCTATCTTAACTTTTGAGTTTAGTTTTTGTTTCATTAAGTCTTGTTTTTGTCCACGTACTGTTTTCCTGTTTTGATCTTTTGTTTTTACTTTTACTTGAAGTTATGCTTAGCTCGCGAATTTACTTATTGCCATATTAGGAATGTTACAGTTGGTCGTGTTTGTGGTGTTAGAGCTGACCTTCGTTCTTTGGTAATTATCAGCTACGGCTGTGCGTAGGCTGATCTATTCCCTGACAATAGCAAACCCGTTGCAGTGTTAGCGATAAGAAATACAATAGAAACTCTTCCGGTCAGCTAACCCAAACATGTCCAGCTTTGGCTATTAAAACCGCTACTATACTTGAACTAGTTAGTAGAGAAGAGTAGGAGAAGTAGAGTAGTAGTAGAGTAAGCAGAAGTTGTAAGAAGATTAAGAAGAATAAAAGCAAGATGTAAATCAGATTCCTGGTACCTCGTCGTGTAGCGAGCGAGTTGCTCGAACACACCCCCACAAACATGACAAATCCCTTCAAACGAGGACTTGCAGAAGAGGAGGACTTAATGTACCTCTGCCGAACCTTTATACCTGTATAAATGCCGTTACCAAATTGTCCGTGCTACATACGTTTTAATAAGCAAAGGTTTAGTTATACAAAAACAAGTAAAAAACAACGCAGGCAAGAAATGACGAAAGTTCGGTGTCATCTTGACGCCATTTTCAAGTTCAAAATGATTACGGATAAACTTTTTTCACGGTTTATCAGCGAGCATTTTCACCTTGAAAATGGTGTCAAGATGACACCGAAACGTCGTTCCTTCTTGCAGGAGTTGTTTTTTACTCGTTTTTTTTTTTTGGCATAGGTTTTGTCTTGTAAAAAGATTATGTTATAGACATGTGTGAATCATTTTTATACTCTCTATTCTAAGTGAATAGCTACTTTTAACCCTAGGACTCCTAAGATCTGATTAGTAACTCTCCCTTCTGGCTGCTATAGATTTTATTGTACATTCTTGGTCAAATAATTTGGGTTTATATCAAAAGTGCATCCTCTAGCTGATACTATTGCCTGTTCTTATCACCTTCCTCCTGGACAATGTTATGATATTATAAAAGGAGAAGTTACCAGTGCTAATCACTTCTGCGAGTTAAAGGGTTAAAGGGTCATATCTGTAATTTTCTTCGTCCAAAATTGTACTGAATCGTGAAGATTTGTTTTAGAATGAGGGATGTCTGATAGATCCAATAATTTACTTTTCTAGATGTCCGTTTGAAATTAAAGCAAAGATAGAATCGACAACGCAAAATAAGGAAAAATAAATGGTAAATGTGAAAAGGCGTAAATGTATATAATTTTTTACTAGCGCTATATTTACGATTCCGAATATTCACGATTTATGAACATTTGTTTCGCATCAGCAGAGTGTATAAAGAGCGTTGTCATTCACGTGGCCAGCATCTATGCTTATTTATTGAAACAAAAGAAAGAAAAGAGTTCAACTCTCAGAGGATTTTCTTAGTATACCGGCCAGCATGGCCACCGTTGCGTAAAGTGAAACGCTGCGCTCTATAGCAAACAAAATGCTCCAAAGCATCATCCTAAATAAAAAAAGCTGCTATTTTTTTCTAAATGAGAAGGAGTAATTTCAAAACACCCTCAAACAATGGTCATGAGAGACTCTTTGGAGGTTACACTCATGCACACATTTCAAATATAACTTTGGTTGTTCATCTCGCGATCGTTTCCAAAACCTATGGCGAGAATAGCTCGCCCCTTGCTGACATCCTATAACAGAATCACCAGCTGAATAGTTTTCAATAAGGAATCATCAGTTTTGACAACAAATCGAGTTTGTCATGCCAGACATTCACCGGATTAGCCGCCGCAGTTAAAGAAGGGCGAGGACGAGAAACCTCTTCGCTGGAGGCAGATGTTCTTCTGTTTCATTGGCAGATATCTACATGCAGGCTGAATAAATTGCTTTCCAAAATTTAATATCACTGATAAAGCCGAAAGTACTATCGTTCAGATAAGAATCATTAAAAACGTTGCCAGTTTCCGACCTATCACAATGAAAAAGACAGTCGTAATTACCATGTCTTTATTAAAACACGGAGACTATCTAATAAAACCATAAACGAATATAATGTAAGAAATCAGCTGCACAAGAGTAAAATTAAAGCTACAGTCCTCCTTCAGGAATGAAACCAACATGACTTCGTTTCTCAGTTTTCACACAGGAGAAATTACTGCATAAAAGCAATGGGGCTCACCAATCGGCTATTGTGCAAACTAAGACCTCCAGTTCATTAAAATACAATCAAATAAACTAGTTTTGTTAACAAGCCAAGTTTATTTTAATTAAAAAATATCTATTTTCACTTGTATTTTTTCCCATGTTTAGATCACATTTACAAACACTGGCAGTTTAGAGAGAGAGTAGTTATATCCTTAGAAAGTAGTTATATTAGAGAGTAGCTATATCCTTAGAAAGTAACCGGCTTCTTTCTAAGATCATTTAGGCTTTTTTTGTCAACGAAAAAAACAAGAATAGCGAATAAAAAAGAAACTCAAATTAAACAACCTCTACGCAAGGAGGCGGGCAAATTTTAAATGGAAATTAGCAAAACGTTTAGCTTAAGATAATGACCGTTAGCTTACCTGGTAATATTTTGTCTGAAAGGTATAAATTTGCGTCAAATATCAACACGTAGGGATATATGCAAGGGTTGATAAGTTGAAATTCCCCTTTATTGCTCGAGAAACAGGGAAAAAAAAATGAATTTTTCTTCAAATTTCGGCTATATGAGTTCATACGATATCAACTATTTTTACTGTGACGATAAAGAGATATCGTCCACAGCCAAAATCGGTCTCTTGGTCTTCTACTCTTTCATCATGTTTATTGGTTTGGTTGGAAACTTCTTGATAATTCTTATCGTGTTTACTCACAAAGAACTGAGAAAAACGACCAATTGGTTCATTGTAAACATGGCGCTTTCCGACTTTATGTTCTCATCAATATCCATTCCAGTCGGCTTAGCGGAGACGGCGAAGAGCTCCTGGCCTGACAATGACACTACAGGTTTGGTGTTGTGCAAGCTGCAAGGATTTTGCACAAGCGTCTCCCTTTCTGTCTCCGTACAGAGCATTTTTTGGATCGCCATTGATCGTTTTGTGGCTGTAGTGTATCCAATGAAAGCTCGTTTCATCTCGTCTAGATCTCGCCGCATTAGTATCGCTTCCACTTGGCTCGTGGCAATGGGAATTAATTCAGTTGAGTTGTATTCTTATCAAGTTCTTGAAGTACAAAGCAAATTCATATGCACGAGTGGCTTGGATGATTCATTTGAAACTGACCGAATATATATGATTTATTCACTGTTTTATACTGTCTTATTCCAGATTGCACCATTCATTGCACTGACAGTTATATACAGTGTTATAGCTTTGACTCTAAGGAAACAAAACAAACGCCTTCACAGCGAAGGGAAGAAGGGAATTAGGCCGAGCATGCGTCTAAGAAGACAGCAAGCAATCAAGATGTCCTTTTTTACTATGGCTGCGTTTTACACCTGTTCTCTTCCACTGCTTGTTTCGGCGATCATTTGGGAATATCAAATTTCAGTATCTTGCTCATTTGAAACGACATTTTGGCAAATCTCTATGACCATGGTTTGCTTATCCTCCGTGGCGAACCCTTTAATTTGCTTAACTTTTGTTGGACGCTATCGCGAGGGCTTGAAAAACATTTTAAGGGTACCTTGGAGGAGGCAGTTGAGAGCAAACAACATGGAAAGCAGCGTTGGCGGAGGAATAACTCTTCATCAGATAAGAAGTACGTTCGGAGGGAAAGACAATTTGGCATTTCGTTAAGAAGAAAGAACCATAAAACTGAATCTCAACGAGTAGTTGCTTTTGACTCTGAGGATGATCTTAAAAAGTTTCAGGATGAACACCCTCGTACCTGCTAATCAGCTTGACCATACCACATGGGTAAGAACTGAACCCGGGTCGTATCAAATGGCCTTAAGTTATTTTGCTTAGCTACGCATAAGATTAATTGATTGTGTAAGCTTTATTTAGTAATACACTCTAAGTTTCGTGGTGATTACAAGCTATAATACTCTACGCGAGCTTCCATTTTATACTTTGAACCAAGATTTCATCAGAGCTACTGGAGCATGGGTTCATCTCTCCCAAATTCGTCATCTAATTCCAAAGATTTGTTACACGACATTATACTACTACATGAAAATTACTGCAATTTGATTGGCTTAGAGCAGTGGTATTTCAGCTTAATTTGAAATACCTACATGTGAAAATTACAAACCTTTTGCGGGTAGTAATATAAACAAATAATAGCATGATTTGTACGTGATATTTGGCATAACACTCGTGATATTTCAAAATTGTCTCAAATTTCACTCGCCTAACGGCTCGTGAAATTACGTATAACAATTTCGAAATATCACTCGTGGTATTTATGCCAAATATCACTACCAATCATGCTATTACCTATACTAATAGAGATTAGAAGAAGTGAATCGTCACGTTACCATGGTAACAAAGTTTCTAAATCACAACAATATGGAGCTTCAGCAACAACGACGGCGACGGCAACGAGAACGGTTCAAAAGCAATAGGTATATATTAACAAACAAAAACTTTGCACGTGCATCACGCTTTTTTGTACTTTCTTCGCCCTCGTTACAAGATTCCTAATTTCAGGCGCCCATTTATGGAGTAGGTGAATACAACACAAAAATTTCCCTTTCCTTTTTCGAAACATCGATATGGCCCTTTTGGATTCAACCCCCCCCCCCCCAAATTTTGCCAACAATTCCACAAATTAAATGAAACTTAATATGATCGGTAAAGTTTGAAACAGTGCGAATTCACTTTTTAAGTAACGTTTTCAGTTTGTCGTCATCCAAAAATTTTGCCACCACGGCAACGTGACGTAACGACTTCTCCTCTCTATGGCAAATCCAGACGCTCGGTGAAAAATTCGGACTCACAGAGCTTTTCTCATGAGATTGTTTTGGAGTCAAAGTACATCAGCATTAAACAATCAGGGTCTCTCTTCCAACACCCCAAAAACAAAAACGGATTTTCCATACTCCACTGCAATATGCGTAGTCTACACAAAATGTATTATGGGCTCCTGATTGTTGCTAGAGGATATCATCACCGCCGTTAAAGAACCTCCCAAAATTATTGCTATCTCTAAAACAAAGCTATGCATTCATAAATATTATCTGCGCTAATGCCCATCCACAAAACGTATAATAATAAAATAAAAATAATTTCATGGTACAATTTAGTCTTAATAGTTAGAACTTAAAAACAACTTGGAAGCTACAATGTAATAGGTATGCTCATAAACAGGAAAAAGAGTGGCACCACGCCAGCTATAACCAAATTGATCTATAATGGTGCTTCCTATACAGATAGCAAGGAAATTACCCGTCAAATAAATCTGGGAATAAATATCCATTTCATAAATGTTGGTAGTAATCATTCTGAAAACCTCCCGCTGAGCGATATAAATCCCGCTAAGTACATCGATCAGTCTTTTTCAAACAGATTTGTACGGTGCATGAAGTGCAGGAAACAATAATTGGACTAAGGCCCTGTCCACATGCACGTTTCCGTTTTTATTTGAAAACGCAACTTTTTTTTCACGGATATGACTTTCGTCCACACGTATCCGATGAAAACGATCAATGAAAACGGAATTTTTTCCGAAAATGCTCTCCAGAGAGGGACTTTTTGAAAACGCTGTTTATCTCGTGTACGTGTGGACAGACGAAAACGGAACTTTTCGAAAACGCTGAGGACACATAATCAGTTCCAATTCACTCGGCGCAATATTATATACTTACTCAAGATGCCGGACGGGCGTTTCCCTCTCTTGTCTCTTATACTTGGGGTTATTTCTAACCTAATTGCTTGTTTTCAAGCAGATTTAGCTTTGTTAATTCTTCAAGCTGATTATTCCAGTAGACGACAGAACATTATTACGTTACTTTCGCTACCGGTGTCAAGAGAGGGAAGGTTGGATCTCTCTTAAGTTTGACTTCGTTTTTGCCCTGATTTTGACATTTTAAACTGTTTCTGCGACTTTGAAGAACGTCACAATGTAAACCCACACCAAAGAAATTCAATTTTTTATTTCGCGGGCTCATAATAGCGAACACGTATGAGTCAAGCATGCACAGTCGGGTAAGTTATTGTTTTCAAATCGATTCATCGTGTACGTGTGGACGGGCGAAAACGATGCGAAAACGCTAGGAGTGGGCGTTAATGTTTTTGAAAACGGAGAAAGAAAGTTGCGTTTTCAAACGAATACGGATACGTGTGGACAGGGCCTCTTTCATAGGGGTTCCCTCAAGATGTATTAAATTAGCATGTCCTTTTATAAGTGAGGCACTTAGCACTTACAACAATCTATAATCCGTCCTTACAACAAGCAACCGTCCCCGATATACTTAATATCAAAAACAACCCCAATCGACAAGGGCAACCGACCCTGCGAATTTCTCTATCGGTTCTTTCTGAAGTATTTGAAAAATTGGTATTCAAGTAACTTGGTAACTACATAGAAAAACATATTCTCTTCCAATACTAGTTGGGATTTCGTAAAGGTCACTCAACAACTTAGGACATAACCGAACTCACTGACACTCTAAGGAAGGCATTGATAGCAGGTGTTTTTCTGCATTTCTCGAAAGCATTCGATACTATAAATCACGAAAGTTCGATCACAAAGCTAGCAGCATACGGTTTTAGAGGTCTTCCTTTGAAATGGTTCAGTAGCTACCTGACAAACGGGAAACAGTACACTGAACTAGGAGACACAGAATGGCTTATACAAACAATGGGCTGTGGAATTCACAAGGGTAGCACACTAGGGGTGCTTACCATTTGACAGAAAAATCCGGTTGGGGTATCGAAAGTATAATGGTAAGCGATTTACCAGTTTACCGTAGAATTGCCACATCCGTTACGGTTTGAGTCCAAAAAAGGGCGAATTTTGTAGCGCGAGTCTGGAACCGAGAAGGACCCGAGAAATTGGTTAATGGTAAGCAACATTCCGTTTGCTTCGTACCAACCGGAATGAAAGGACTACCTCAAAACGTACTCCTCAATTTTCGGTTGGAATTTCTGAAAAGTGACCTTACCATTTACCCTCCATCCGGAATTTCCGAAATTTTCTGTCAAATGGCAAGCACCCCAGGGCTACTACTGTTCACCCAACTGCTCCGATAAGTTAAGCTTAAGCTTCAAAATTTTTGCTGATGATACCAAAGTATTCGCCTCGACGAATAACCTGCCCTTGAAGCTCTTGTGAACTCCGAACTTGAAAGGGTGAAAGAATGTTATGATGTAAATAAATTGTCTACTAAAAAGGGATATGCCAGCGAATGCTCAGATTAGAAATAAGGACGGAACTTGCTACTTTCTGGTTTGCAGGGACCATATTAAATATTTACGGGTAATGATCGTAGCCTGCGTAGCAGGCGCTTGGAAGAAGTGGGCGCAAGAAAGAACGGGCGCGCGAGAGGGAGACACGCGTGTCTGTCTCCCTCTCACACTTAAGATTGGGCTTTCCAGTCGGAAGGAAACATAGTCTGCTACACAGCCATTTTTAGTGTCGTCACGCAACGCTCTTCCCCACTAGTGGGGAGGAGCGTTGCGTGACGACACTGAAAAGGGCTGTGTAGCAGACTATAGAAAACAAGGAGCGCAATATAAAAATTACAAGGTGTTTACTCATACAACTTTTCATACTAACAGATAAGAAAGTACTAAAATTACAGTTTTAAAATCCTGACTTGTTGTCGATTTTAGAGAGGTGTGAAGCTTCTTCTCCGATTGTGATTGGCTAAACGTTCTTATGAGTTAACAATGCGATGTCAAAAACACAACCTTACAAGTCTGATTACGACACGGGTGGCTAACAGATTCTTACAGGTCATTTACAGCTTGAAGACTCAATCTTATCTTAATTATCACTATTTAAATACTTTACATGGAGTTGGTATCAGTTGACCATAAAAAAAATTTCCACTGCTTGCATTGCATTTTTATTGTTTGACAATTTGGGCTATAGAAATAAGAAACTTATTTAACTATTATTAGTGTTATCTTTAATAATTGTTGGCTTTTTTACTTGGACCACAAAGCCGGTAAATTGCTCCTGCAAATAAAAAAAAATTACATCAACAAAATAAATGGACGTAGTTCTATTTTCCTTGTTTATAGTTTCACGGCTGCACCCAGTCGAAACAACATTGGTAGGTAAATGGAAAGTGTTCCTTGTGAACCAAAATATTCAACTGTAGTTTTAGGGAAAGTTTGGGGAAAATATTGAACAGTGACAGACACATCGCGAAAACCTATTTTACCTGTAAAGCGTAAACTCCACTGCGGTAGAATCTCAGCAAAGATCTCCAACTTTAAGCTCAGCATTCCCAAGATCTGAGGTAAGATATCAAACATAAATTATTCTAAATACTTCAAAAATAGCATGTACTTAGTAAACCAGTTTGGTGACAAATGTTACGTTTGTTGCAAAGCAACGAAAAAATTTTCTTCTCCTTTTCTATAGATCAGGACGTTATTCGTTTCATGTAAAATAGATGGTTCGCAACTAGGACGTAAAAGACCCACTTAAGTGACCCCCGCGCCACGCGCAAATTCTTCTAATCTCTGCAATACTCGACCAGTTATAAAGTACCCAGTGTCTATTTTAGATCTTGATAATACTATGAAGAAATTAAAGCAGTTTGCATTAAACAAAGGTGTCTGTGTTATGGAATAGCTCGCCGACTTGTAGACATGATATGTTCAATAAAAGTTAAACAGTTTTAGCCTGCGGATACAGTCTTTTCTAACGGCGAGGAGCAAGGACAGACTGGTGTATTTGCAAGCTAAAACGTTCTTAGATGTTCTCGTAAGATTACCCAAAAGTTGATAGCGGTTATCGTTGCTGATCGCACTCCATTGGTTTACTACGTAATCTCCATTGGTTTGCTAATAAAAGGGAAAACAGTTTGTTACAAACGTATTTGTTATTATCAATTTAGTGAAGCATGTGGAGATATTACTCTGAATGCTAGAGTACTTCACCATGGAAAAACTTAGCGACAAATACCCAACAACGAGGCACTTAGGGGAAAGACCATCCTAGTTGGGGGCTTTTTTAATACCGTCGACACATCTTATGTCGTGCCAGATATTTTGCGATCGGTCCCCTGAGTTGAAGTACGGGTAAATGTCAGTTGGATGACAGAGTTTTATCCTGCTCTAAAATAACTCCTGGCCAAAATCACTCAAAAACATATTTAGCTTGTATGTTTTACTTTCTCAAGGAAGGTCTCCGGGGATTTTGCCCCTGATGCGTCCAAACGAACGTGAATAAGACGTATTTTGAAAGAGGCAGCGCTCTTTATTATTATCACATGACCTACATTAGAAAAACAAAAGATACACGCTAAAGACGCCTATTACAAGGATATATGAAATGACCAAGCACGAGTATTGTTTTTCTGTAAATGATGTAGACAAATCTCAAAACCTAATTGATAACAGGATTGTCTTTTTACTGCAAGCTTTGACATTGCAAAAGGGAGGAGGCAATGGATGGTTTACTGTTGGCTCTTTTAATAACCTTTTAACGAGCTACTACTTCAGTCTGACTACTTTCATTATTGAATTTACATTAAAAGTTCGAACATACTTGATACGTCTGAGGAAATGGCTTGACGACAGCCACTTTTTTGGCATCGCGTTCACCACTGGTGCTGGGACTAACCACACCATCACCTCTGGTATCATTTGCGAGACCTCGATCACCACCAACACAACCATCCAGATTTGTAGCACCAAGACAATCACTATTTGTATCAGTGATGCAGTTACAAGTATCATCAATGAAACCACTATCATTAGAACAACCAGAATCATCAAATACTTCATTAGTGAACACTTCATGTGTACCATCAGTCCCCTCACAAATACTATCACTGGCACTACCACCAACACCGTTATAATCAACAGGAACAAAACTAACAGCAGCCCCAACACCACAAATAGTCCCACTACTACCACTCTCAGTGGCACCAGCAGCAGGACCAGTGGTAACAAAATCGGTACCATCACGAGGACGACCACGAGGACCATCTGTTGTAACACCACCAATAACACTTGTTCCACGACTACAACTTTCAGTGTTATCAGCAGCAAAGACAGCATTGTTACTGTCACAACCAGTGGTAACAAAATCACTTTCAAAGGTATCATCACTAGGACTATCTGTTGTAACACCACCAATAACACTTGTTCCACTACTACCACTTTCAGTGTTATCAGCAGCAAAGACAGCATTGTTACTGTCACAACCAGTGGTAACAAAATCACTTTCAAAG